CGGAAGGTTCTAGAACCTACTCAAAGTGGGGTTTTCTCTCTTTTTAGGTTATTTATGCTTTTCTTCATTTTCGCCTTATTATTTAAATTAATTTTCGTTTTTCTATTTAATATATTTTTTGATACTTACGCTCCTTTTACTTTTACTTGTGATTTTAACTGTTTTCAACTACCTTATTTTTTATTTTTTAAGAAAATCTTGAGCATTTTCTGACATCTTGACCAATTTTGGAATTAACAAAGAAATTAGGAAATGGTGAACGTTTTTCAAATTCCTGACCATTTAAAAAGTCATGAACATGTTTTTACGGATTCACGGAAATAAGAAATTGTGAACATTCTTCAATATTCACACTGAGAAATATTAATCACTTATTTGAGAATTTTTCATGCAGCAAACAAAAAATGTTCATGCAACTCTAAAACAATGTTAATACCATTTGAAAAATATGTTCATGACATCCAAAAAAATGTTTGTGCAATGTAAACATTTGGTTCTTTTGATTCAGAAAAATGTGCTTGATATTTCACAAGAATGTTCACGTGTTTCAAAAATATGTACATGACATTTACAAAAACTTTGGTACAATGTAAATAAATGTTCATTTTGTACAAAAAAAGGTTTCATAGTATTCGAAAAATAGCGTGACATGATTTAGAAATATTCACACATTTATAAAAACTTTATACAATGTAAAATAAAGTTGACGTATTTTTAGTCAAATATTTCAACCCATTAAAAAAATATTTAACATGTTTAACATATATTCGAAAGATGTTAAAAATGTTATATGTATATACTAAGATATACACTGTGTATTGAAAAAAGTAGACATGTGTTTAAAAAATTAAAAGAAAAAACACCCGAGGAAAACAAGAAAAATGGCGATGGCCCAAAGAAAACAAGTAAAGAAACATAGAGAAACGGCACAAAGAAACAAAAGAAAGAGAAAAAATAAAGCGGAACCCATCTAGACAATATACAGTGTTGGGCCTAGCCCATTGGCAGATCGCCAAAGGCGAGGCTAAGCTATATCTCGCTTATTATCTCTAGGGATTTTATTACTGCCCCAGAAGGAGAAAAAAAGGAGCAGATGGTCTAGTTGAAAAATGTCTTACAAATAAATTAAACTGAACATCATAAATGTGTGTCAACCTAGTCTCTACTACTTAAAAAGAATGTAAGATTTCCATTTCATCTTTCTTCCCATCACTCCTTTGTCCAACCTTGCATGTATAATAATCAATCATCTTAATTTACTTACCTTCTGAACCAATTTCATTTTCATTTACTTACCAAACTTTTGATCAAAATATAAGGTAATTAACGGGAAAAAATTGATGAACATTTATTTACACAGTCGCATATTATGGGTAGGTAATCACAAGCTGACGTACTTGACGTACTACAATATTTATATCCTGTTGCAACGCACGGGCATTGTTCTAGTACTAGTAAAAAAATGCATTCATTGCGAGAAAGTTTTCTTCTTCTTAAAACATATCTATAACCTCAAAAATATTTTTTAATCAAGCAATTGAAAATTTGGGGCCTACTGGTCCATGTGGTCAGAAAAAAGAATGATTTGTATTCCTCTCTTCCCGGTGAAAATGTCCACTGCCTTGATAAGGTATCCTTCAAATATTTAGAAGCGATTATTTCCGCATCTTCTATTTTCCCTAAAGCTAGTGAACCGAATGGAAAAGACTCACTTGAAAAAAATGAAGCAAGAAACAACAATAAAGCTTCGGCTTGGGTCTGTCTCAAAAATGGAAAAATACAACACAATCATAAAACAAAGAATCGGGTACTATGTATTACAAAAGAAAGGTTTGCTCGCACTTATGCGAGGATCTCACCTCTCCTTCCTCATTTACTGAGGATAGAAAATAGATATTTTTCATTGCTTCCTCAAAATAAGAGTTCCCCGGGTGGGTTATAATAAACATCTTTAAGGAAGCAAGACCATTCATTAAGTATTCCTTCTCATATTTGAGTTGGTATACACACACACATAGACAAACATGGTACTATGCTTGGAGATCCCATGAGTTGTGTAGGTGGCACTGAGCCACAGACACCCTACGCTCCTTTAAACATGAGCTCTTTTCTGGAGTGCTTTCTCATGTTGTACCCCATCCCACCCACTCACCCAACAATATTGTTGCCTCTGTCCTACGCGTTTTACGCCATCTCCAATGTGTTTGCTATCGTCGACCTTGAGGATAAGTATGTAAGATGGCATGGTCATGGGAGTTCAAAGTGTTTATAGCACATGTCGGCTAAATCACACAATCCTAACCATCAAACGACATGGCACATAGGTTCATGACTTGTGTGATGCCTCACGCTATCTAGTTTAGAACTTTAAAATATGTTTCTCTAGACCACCTTCCTATTCCTTGAGGAAAAACATATTGATCTTGTACAATTTTACCAATTAAGGTGTTGGTATTTCTTTTTCCTCGACGAGTTGGCTTTTTATGTGAGCTCGTTGAATCACTTTACATCCTCAGAATTTTCACTGCAATGTTGATGGCTGAAAAATATCCCTCTTAAGCGAGATCAATGGGTTAGAAGGGATATATCCTAACGGAACTCCCAATGAAATTGTAGAATCAACAAAATATTGAAATGGTCCTTTTTCTTTTCAAAAGCAGTCATTCTTCCATTGAGGAGCACTTTTACGTGTATAAGTATATTACCCATCTTTTGTTTGCTCTCCCTTCTCTCAATACTTTCTTGTAAAAGCCTTTGGTTTAACAATGTTGCATGTCATTCATGAAGTATGGTTCTTCATAAAAACAATAGCAATGGCTTGAAAAGCATGTGAGGATATCCGTGCGCACCTTGATTTCTCTATTCCGCACCAACCACTCATGCTTAATAGTAGTAGCATTATATCAGTATGCCATGAACTTTCATAAAGATCACCAAGAGAAGAAGAGGCAATTTTTTCTTTGTTGACTTCGTTCGTGCTTGCACATAGAATAAAATATTGACCTCGTATCTAGTTTCACGAATTAACTTTTTCTCGTACATTGTACAATATTACCGAAACGTTACTCGGGATAGTTACGACAAGAGAGGAGTTTTGATGCAAGCTCGGTGAATCATCGTTGCACCCCAATAATTTTTGTTGCACGTATCGGATGGCCAAAAGTTGACCCTCTTAACCGAGATCAAACAAGGAGGATATCCGGGCAGGAGCTCTCGACGAAATTGTATCATTAGTGATGTTTTTGTTTTCTCAAAAGCAACTATCCCCGCATTGAGGGGCACTTTTGTGTTTAATTAAAATCCCCACACTTTCGTCTGTTATCTCAACACTTCCCCGTAGAAGCCTTTGGATTAACAATGCTCACACGCCATTCATGAAGTATGGCTCTTCACAAAAACAACCATTTTCTACAAAAACAGAAGAAAAAACTGCCGGCCACAGCTATATCAGCATGTGAGGAGCTACGCACACGCAATTCTCTATTCGAGCACCAACCGTGCATGCTCCATACAAGCAGCATTATTATGTTAGCATATCACAAACTTTGATAAAAGAACAACAACAAAGAGAGAGAAATAGCAACACTCCTACTAAAGACCATGTTATAAATTGGTGGCAACTAGGAAGGAATCAAGGAAGGCATGTCCATCCGGCCAGCAATGCTGACAGTGAGCTGAGGGGAGGACAGGGCATGCAGCATCTGATGCTCCCCCCACCCAACCACCGGATTAATAATAATCACAATAATACTAGTAATACACATGTACATGCTGTTATGCACATGCAAATGCTAATTAAACTCCGGGTCTCACACTGACACCTCAACGGCCACCACAACCACCTTGTATGATTTTCCATTCGTCTGTATCACAATCCATGCTTTGCTAGCTAGGGCTTGCCCCGAAAATTCCCTCAGGATTCCCGCTCGTTTTTTAGCTCGTCGCATGATTGCCATGGCACCAAACAGGCTTAGCATCCTCACCGGAAGAACATGCTACTCTGAATCGTCTGTGATCTATTTTTTTTCTCCAATAAATGGCGCTTTTATCATCTTAAAATGTAGCATTAAGCGGATATAAAATATTATGAGTAACACCCGGCTTTCGTATAATTAGGATGTACACAGCCAAACACCAGAAGTCCGACAGAAGAAAATGTAACAAAACCAACAAATCGGCAAAAACACCAGAGTCCTATAAACCGACACTATGCCCGTGTCAGAAAGTGGCGATGAATGGATGGAATGGAAGGAGAGGAGAGGCGAGGGAGTGAGCTGAAAGTGGCACGACAATAGAGAATTCATTGCTGTGCGCACCGCCAACAACCGCAGCCCTCCATTATTCATGCATGCAGATGAGCTCTGAATGAGGAGGAGCAAGGAATCAAAACCTGACAGATAGGCGCCAACCAACGCTGCAACAAGGACACCAACTGCAGCCGCAGCGACAGCGGAAACAGATCTTTGGAGGTGTTCCAATTATCATCCTCTCACAATTCACAACAGCAAAAAATAATGAGATGAAAAGTCCACAGTGATCGACCGACCGTCCAGCCCGGTCCTCCCCCACTCATCAACAACTGAGCAACAGTGGCATCCAGTACCGACAGTCACCATGGCTGGACATGGACATGGACATGGACGCAACTCTAAGCTTTGACTTATTTCCCAATCTCAACTCGACTCAACTGAACACATTACATTTTACATCCCCTAGCTTTTGACCGACTGTTTGGTTCCCAGAGTATGCACACGAAAGAATTTGTAGCAGTATCAGACATTTTGATGACGAAGAAGAAGACGAAAAGGGGAAAAAACTTTGGACACCTCTCTCTGACATGGTGATGAACTAGGACTTGCGGCGGTATGGAGTGCCATGATGATGAGCTAATCAGGACATGGATGATGATCCGATTCAATCATCGTCTCGCCGAGCGATTCTTGGCGCGCGAGAGCCTCTGCTGCATTTGCTTCGGATTGCGGTGGTGGTGGTGATCCGGGCTAGAGCATCCAGTCGAGCCGGTTGGTGGGGGGAGGGGGCGCGCCGGCGGAGGACGCGGTGGAGCTGTCGGTGGTGGTGGAGGAGGAAGACGACGTGGTCGGGAGCGACGACAGCAGGTCGAACATCTCCCACCGCGTCGTCTGCGCCGCCGGCTGCTGCTGCTGCTGCGGAGGCTGCTGCTGGCGTTGGCGCTGCGACTGCGGCTGCGGCTGCCTCGCCGGCGCCGGCGGCTGTGGCGCCTGCTGCGGCTTCTTCGCGTTGGCGGGCTTGCTTGCGATGGTGGCGTTCTTGGCCATGACCGCGTCGAGCGTCTCCACGTACTTCTGGACCCGCTTCACCTGCACGCGCCTCTGGGCCTTCACGTCGCCGCCGGCGACCACCGCGTCCAGCTTCAGCAGCTCGTTCATCAGCAGCTCCGTCACCGTCGCCACGTCCTTCTCCGCCACCTTCTCCCCCTTCCGCACCGACGCCTCCAGCGCCGACACCTGCCCAGCAAAATTAACCACGGGTCAACTCCTCTGCTCTGTTCCCAACCCCGGCTCGGAAAAACACGGACCGGCAATGCGCGTACCTTGGGCGCGATCTTGTCGACCTCGGCGGCGACGGCGGCGACGGCGCCGGCGGCCTTGCGGAGGCTGCCCAGGCGGAGCTCCTCGAGCAGCCGCCGCGCGCGGGCCTCGGGGTCGTCCACCACGGCGACCTTGGAGCGGTCCCTCACGCCGGCCATGTCGAGGAACGCCTTGGGGTCCTGCTCCTTGCCCTTGTACAGCGTCCGCAGGTCCTCCGGGTGCGCGCCGGCGCGCTCCGCCACCCGCCTCCGCAGGTCGCCGAACGTGGCCTCCGCGCTGACGTAGATCTCGTGGGTCTTGCCGGCGAGCTTGGCCTTGACCCGGATGGTGGGCACCGGCTTCACGCTCTCCGGCGCCGGCTCGTCCTCCTCGGGGCCCCGCTTCTGCACCAGCATGCCGCCCGGCCGCACCTCCCACACCTCCTCCGCCGACACCTTCCCCGCCCCCACCGCCGGCGCCTTCTTCCCCTCCTCCACCGGCACAACCGGGGGAGCCGGAGGCGGGGCGCCCTTCCTCCTCATCGTCAGCGACCCGAGCTCCACAGTCGCCGCGCCCTTCCTCACCCCCAGCATGGTGACCGCCGCCGCCCCCGGAATTGGCGCGCTTTGCAGCTGTAAGCAAATTAAAGGTGGCACCACGAGACCGGCAAGCGCAACAGTGGCGGGAAACAGCACCAAAGCGACCGGAAAGGCGGCAAGCTCCTGCCGGCGCGCGAGCGAGCTCGGGCGCCGAGGCAATGGCGGATCGGAGAAGAAGAAGAAGAGGATGGATGGAATGTGCGGACGGACGGCGAGGAGGGAGTGTATTTAGCGGGAGCTTAAGCGCAACGGACAAGGGGAATATATACGCGGATTACAGTATAGCCCACTTGCCACATGGCGAACACATAATCAAAACCGAGATCAAAAGAGGCCAAATTATTGTTAGATGCCACTAACAACAACTAATCAAATCAGCATGACAGGATTATACAGCTGATGAGGTGAATAAGCACATATGGTGTTTTGGCGGCATTTCAACTTTTGGTTTGTTGCGGTGCAAACTATGGAAGGAAGCTCGCCGGAAGATGCACGTTGCTGTATGTTTTTTTTTTAAAACGGAGGTAAAAGATTTGCCTCATCTCATTAATTAATAATAGTTTTGAATTACATGACCGACCGCCCATAGACGCCCCGAAACCGATAAGCCTACTCTCGCGGCATAAGAGAACTCAGACGTTTGGCCGCTGCCAACCCCCAAAGTCTGACCTCCGCCTTGATTCTAGACGTGATTACATTTAGCATGGAGGACACCATCCTAAATACTCTGGCATTCCGCTCGTTTCAAATCTCCCAAGAAACCAACATGACGAGAGACGCGAGGCCCTTTCTCACATTACCATTGACGCCTACCATGTGGTGCCACCAATCGTTGACGCTATTGAAGCTACTCCAGTCGGTGATGTCCACACCGGTCAAACCCATCCAAGTCTTGATCTCCGTCCAAATGCGTACCGTGTATCGACAGCGGAAGATGATGTGTGCCGCCGTCTCTGGCTCCCTCTTGCATAACTGGCATAGGCCGCAATTTGGCCATCCTCTTTGTTGAAGCCTGTCCGCCGTCCAAACACGGTCTTGAATGATAAGCCAAGCAAAGAATTTGTGCTTTGGCGGCGCCCAATTGTTCCACACTGCAGACTTCATTTTCGATGTAGTGGAGTCGTCGAGTTGAGCTTTGTAAGCCGACGATGCCGTGTACTCACCGGAAGGCGAAAGCTTCCAAACAATCTCATCATCCACCCCCTCATCAAGGAAGACCTCTCGTAATCCAACCCAAAACTCATAGTATTCAAGGATGTGCTGAATTGTGAGCCCAGGATTTGTGTTGATGTTGGCAATCCACTTGTTGAGATCCAAAGCCCTATGGATGGTGTCATTCTTGTGTTTGGAAATTGCAAAAATGAAGGGAGCGATGTCTTTAGGCTTGCGACCCCCAAGCCAAGGGGAGTGCCAGAAAGAGGCCCTTTGCCCGTTGCCAACAGTGATGGAAGTGCACTCATAAAACAGCGCTATGTCCTCTTCATCGCACGGGTGCCCCAAATCAACCCAAGCACTTTCCGCGTCCTTCCAAACCAACCAAGGCCATCTGAGCCGTAAGGCACGTGCGAATTTTTCCATGTCCAGGATGCCTAGGCCGCCCATGTCCTTGGGCATACAAACTTTCTCCCATCTTATCTTACATTTGCCTCCAGAAACTTTATCCGTGCCTCCCCAAAGAAAAGTCCGCTGCAGCTTGACGATGGACGCCATCATTCCTTTGGGCACCACAAGCGAAGTGAGCTGGTGGATGGCCTGCGAAGTGATAACCGACTTTACCCACGTGCTCCTCCCAGCCATCGTAATGTACTTTCCCTGGCCAATCATGATCTTTCCAGCAATCTTATCAAGAAAATGCTGGAAGTCCACACCCCGCAAACGATGAATGGATAGCGGAAGGCCGCGGTATCGCAAGGGGAACTGAGCTCTGACTGCTGGGAAGGCACCCAGAATCATGTCAAGGTCGACATTGGAGCATCTAATAGGGGCCACAAAACTCTTGTTAATATTCGTAACTAGGCCGGTGACGTTTCCAAAGCTTTGAAGTATGGTGGCAAGCATATCCACATCCTCCTTGATAGGCGCCAAGAATATGGCAGCGTCGTCCACGTATAGGGAGGTGCGAAGGCGGGCACCACGGCCACGTAATCTATGTAGGTCTCCATTCTCTGTTGCCACGTCCAAGATTTGCTGAAGGGGGTCAATAGCAAGGACAAACAGAAGGGGAGACATTGGGTCCCCCTGCCGGAGGCCCTGCCCATGCTGGATAGGATTGCCAGGAACACCGTTGAGAAGAACCCTCGATGTAGACGTCCGAAGAAGGGCCGTGATCCACTCATGAAACCTCGAAGGAAAACCTCTCCTCTGTAACAGGTCGAGAAGATATTCCCATGTAACTGAATCAAAAGCCTTCTTGATGTCCAACTTGAGCAGGAGTGATGGCGTGTTTGTTCGTTGGAGTCGACGAGCATAGCTGCGAACATACATGAAGTTGTCGTGGATGCACCTAGATTTGATGAAGGCACTCTGAGCACGGGATACGAGGATATTCATAAAAGGGGTGAGCCTCATCGCCATCACCTTGGCCACAATCTTGGCGACGGCATTGATCAAACTGATAGGCCTAAAGTCAGTGATCGCTTCAGCCCCCTCCTTCTTTGGCAAGAGAACCACATTTGCGGAGTTGAGCCAATGAAAGTTGTCCGCATGCAAACTCGAGAAGGCGGAGATGACCTTCATAAGATCGTCCTTTATAATTGGCCAGCAGCTCTTGAAGAATGCCCCAGTAAAGCCGTCAGGCCCGGGAGCCTTGTCGCTAGGCATAGCCTTGATGGCTGCAATCACCTCCTCGGCCGTCATCTCATACCCAAGACTGGAAAGATCACAATCTGTAAAGTGGAGGAGTTGCCAATTGAAGTGTGTGGTTCTGCGTGGCCCTTTGCTCAAAGCGGTGGTGAAGCGTTGGTACATAATATTCTCCTTATCCTCATGCTTCGTAACCCAACCAGCCCCGTTGCACAACTTGTGTATGAAATTCTTGCGCCTCCTCCCATTAATCTTCAAGTGAAAAAATTTGGTGTTGGCGTCCCCCTCCTTCAAGTTACGGATGTGGGCACACTGCCTTTTCCTAGCCCTCTCAAGAACCGCCAAACTAATGACGCGCCTCTTAAGCCGCTTACGAAGGTCAAACTCCTCCGGCGAGAGGGAGCGCGACTCCTGAGCGATGTCCAATCTAAGAATAATTTGAAGTGCCATGTGAAGGTGCAGCCTTGCATTTGAGGAGAAGGATTGACTCCATTTTCTCAACCGGACAGCGGTTGTCCGAAGCTTATGGAAGAGGATTTGACAAGGCTCGTAGTGGGGGGTCGAAGCAGCCCAAGCATCAGAGACACTCTCTTGAAAACCCGGCATCTTGATCCAAAAGTTCTCGAACTTGAAGCTTCTAGGCTTTTGGGGGCCAATTATAGGTGCCAACAGCATGGGACAATGGTCAGACAGGGACGAAGATAAGGCATGCAAGATGTGATTTTGGAATTCAATGTCCCATTCGGCGTTGCAAAACATACTGTCAAGTTTGCTCATGGTGGGATTTTGCCGCTCATTACTCCAAGTGAAACGACGATTTTGAAGGTGAATCTCGCGTAGATCACAACCATGAAGCGTGGCGCGGAACCGGTTGATACGATTGCGGTTGACGTTCCTCTTGTTCTTGTCTCTTGCACGGTAAATTTGATTGAAATCCCCATTTACAAGCCACTTTCCTCCATGCCCCGGCTTGTGAGCCACAAGCTCCTCGAAAAAAAATCTCTTTTTGATTGCTCTCAGTTGGGCCGTACACGGAGGTGAGGCGAAAGGAGCTCTCCTCCCGAACAGTGGTAACTGTAAGAGAGAGGCAGTAGATGCCCATGATGATGTTCGAGATGCGGAAGAGATCATCATTCCAAAGAATTGCAATTCCTCCTCTAGTGCCGGTTGCCGGCGTCTGTGCAAATTCTCTCATCCTAAACGTTGCTGTATGTGGGTGGCAATGGCGCCATCAGAGATGACAAATTAGCGACAACATTTTCTCGCTTTATCTTTCTTGTTCTTATTCGCTGCTAACTCGAGCCGACCGACAATTTTGATTGGCTTATAATAAAATCAAGGACATAATAATTTCTTAAACATAGAGGACGTTTTCCGATTGGTTAGACGGTGGTGATGGATGGATGCTAGCCTGACATAACGTCTCAACCATCGCACATTACATTTCTGCTTAGAATTATTGTGAATTGTTAATCAAAGATGGAGATGCTTGTTAGGACAGAAGAACCGATGTAACGGCCGCATTTAGAACAGTTACGACCACTACAACTACAACTGGCAGTGTAGTGTGGTGTGGTGCGGTGTGGTTTAGGGGCTGATCACATGCGGATGGGATTAAGAATGATGTTGGCAACGATATGCCCGCCGAGGCATACGCATATGGGAATACTCACTGCTTAATCATTTGGGTTAGATGCATGCAACCACTTGCCAGAACAAAATTGGTGTGCTCTGTTGACTTGACTTGTCAAACACAGAGTCGATGATTAATGGGCCAATTGTGCATATAATAACCAGTCTTCAGTCTTGAGCACCTTCAGAATTCAAGGCTTTTTTACTGCCCTGCTGTTGTTGTAGCAGAATGTAACGGTACTAATGAGACTTTTGCATTTGTGACGGTTCATATTCCAGAGTTGGACACCGATTATTTGCAGCGGCACTCCAATCAAGACCGGTGAAGGTCGTGCTTTCAGAAAAGAAGAATAATAACGCATGCCATTATCAATCAATTTGGCCTAAACAAACAGTCCTAGTCGTAACCCTAGGCGCCGGTACGCGGTCGCGTCAAAGATGCAATCAGCTTGATCACCTCTCCTGCCCTGCCTGGTTCTGTACGTGCCTGTTTTCTGCATTAAGCAGAAGAGAGGAGGAAAAAACAGGCATGCGTCGGGGGATGCATGTCTGAATCTGGT